GCTAACATAAACATCTAGGCTGGGTGTGGTGGCTCATGCCTGTAATCCCAACACTTTGAGAGGCCAAGGCAGATAGATCACCTGAGGTCAGGAGTTCAAGAGCAGCCTGGCCAACATGGCAAAACCCATCTCTACTAAAAATACAAAACTTAGCTGGGCATGGTGGTGGGCACCTGTAATTCCAAGTACTCAGGAGGCTGGCACAGGAGAATTGCTTGAACCTGGGAGGTGGAGGTTGTAGTGAACCAAGATCGTGCCATTGTACTCCAGTGTGGGTGATAGAGTGAGACTCCATCTCCAGGAAAAAAAAAAAAATTCTGCCTGGGTTTGTTGGCTTTTGTTTTGTTTTTTGGTGTTTTCAACCCATTTTGAGACTTTTGTTAAATGACACTGGGACACAGTTTTTAGAAAATTGTTTGTACCCCTACCATTCTCTTTCTAAAAGATTATTACTGCCCCTTTGAGGCCCGAGCTTCATAGTATATAAAAGTTTGGTATGCAGTAGGGCATGCTCTCCTACTTTGCTTTTTTTCTTTAAAAAGACGTGCCTGTTTATTTTGTCTTTTCACACATATTCTCTGCACTTACCAATTTTAATAAACTATTGTATTAGTTAACTTGGGTGAACATACCACGAACTGAATAGCTTAAATAACAGAAATTTATTTTCTCACAGACTGGGAGGCTAGAAGTTCAAAATCAAGGTTCTGGCTGATTCAGTTTCTGGTGAGGGCTCTCTTTCTGGCTTGCTGATGATGACCTCCTGCTGGTTCTTCACATGGCACACAGGGCAAGAAAGAGATCTCTGGGGTCTATGTATCAAGTCCCCACCTTTGTAGTTACAGTTAGTCTTAATTACTTCCTTAGAGGCCCATCTCCAAATATAGTCACACTAGGCATTAGAACTTCAACATATGAATCTGAGGGGTTCATAGCAACTATTAAATACAGAGCATGCTGAAATACATGTCTCTTTTTCTGACTTATACTTGAGCAACATTTTCATCTGAAGTCAACATGTATAAAATCCTCAGAGTTTTTTTGTCATCATATTTATAAATGTTTCATTATCAACCTGTATTAGTCTGTTCTCATGCTATGAAGAAATACCCAAGACTTGGCAATTTGTAATGGAAAGAAGTTTAATTGACTCACAGTTCCACATGACTGAGAAGGCCTCAGGAAACAATCATGGAAGAAGGCACCTCTTCACAGGGCAGTAGGAGAGAGAATGAGGGCCAGCAGGGGAAATGTCAGATGCTTATAAAATCAACAGATCTCAGCCAGGAGTGGTTGTAATTCCAACACTTTGGGAGGCTGAGGCAGACGAATCACGAGGTCAAGAGATCGAGACCTTCCTGGACAATGTGGTGAAATACCATCTCTACTAAAAATACAAAAATTAGCTGAGCATGGTGGTGCACGCCTGTAGTCCCAGCTACTCAGGAGGCTGAGGCAGGAGAATCACTTGAACCTGGGAGGCAGAGGTTGCAGTGTGCCAAGATCGTGCCACTGCATTCCAGCCTGGTAACAGAGTGAGACTCCATCTCCAAGAAAAAAAAAATTCAGATCTCATAAGAACTCACTCACTATCAGAGAACAGCATGGAGGAAACTACCCCCATGATTCAATTACCCCCCGTTGAGACTCTCCCATGACATGTGGAGATTATGGGATTACAATTCAAGGAGAGATTTGTCGGGGGGGGGGGCGGGGCACAGAGCCAAACCATATTACAACCTAAGAATAAATAACTTATTCTACTTTTATTTCCTGTTAGACTCAAATTCCTACTTTTCTTAAAAAATAACTTGAACGAGACTGGTTACTTTAGTTTGCATAATTCCATCCATAGCCCTTTAGAGCCCTATTCCTGGATTATCATGTATGACCTCATTGGATAAATATTTGTTGAGAACTGTGATAGGTATGTTGGGAGGTGCAGTTTCTTGAACATAGTAAGTTCTCAATTTTTTTGAATGAATGAATGAGGATAAACTAATTACAGAAATTTCTGAGATATAGTGTCATTTAAGTCACTATTTTAAAAAGGGAAAGAAGAAATATTTAAAAAAAATAGGGACATGCAAGAATTTGGGAGACTTTCCCATTAATTACAGTACTAGTAATATTAGGATCTTGTATTTCCTGAAACAAAGCAGCATGACTAGGAAGTAAAGAAGGGAAGGACTCCAACAATGAACTGCTACTGATAGAAACCAAACCAGGACAACAGGAGCAAAGAATTAGAAGTGCGTTGGGCATTTCTTTTTCTATGGATTCTTCTTTTACCTGTAGTGCCATAGAAACAAAAGCAACAAACAGGAAGGCACCAGCATCATTGCAGGACCTGCAATGGTTCAGGGCTCTGGTTCAGGGAGTTCTACCACCAAGTACAACCAGTGTGTTGAGACAGAAAAGTCCCAACTCAAGAAGGGCCAAATCAGAACAGTTTAGGAAGTAGGAAAAGTAGCCCAGAAAAAAGACTTGTTTACTGATCCTGTCTGAGTGTGTCAACCTGTGCTTCTGGATTCTGACTACCACTGTGCATGGAATCCAAAGCAATATAAGTGTTGAAACTTCTTCCTCCAAGCTTTTTGTTCTTTGAACTGTAATTCCTATACAAGAGTGTCTCCCTTCTTTACACACACACACACACACACACACACACACACACACACACACACAGCTGCAAGAAGAAAAGCATTTAGTGACTGTCTCCTCAATATTGTAATCCCAGGTAAAATTTTTCTGCCTTTATCTTTCCTCCAGCTATTAATCAGAGGTGGACATGATTCTGCTAACTTCTAACTACTCTTTGAAAGTATAAGGTCTCTCCTTTCTGATCTCCAACACTGGACGTATATGTGCCTCCCTTCATTAAAAGATGGTCAAACAGAATATCAAATGATAATGTTCCAAGGGCTCTGAAACAGAAGACTGTGAAATCACAGAAGCTATAAGACTCACAAGTTTGGAAAAGATAAAGAAGGGAATACATAGAAATTAGAAAACCTGACTTCACAAGTATATTGCACCCATGAGACATACAAAATAAACACAAGTGTTTAAAATATATACAGTAATAGAGCTCATGTTCATAAATGTATGATATATGTAAAGATTATTTATAAATAAAAAAAGCCAGAAATCCTCAGTAAAAGGGTAGGGAAAGCACACAGATAGGCAATTCCCAGGATAAGAAACAATTGGCCACGAACCATTTGAACACAACTTTAACTGATAATTGAATAACAAATAAATTAAAATGACAATGAGGTATTTTCCATCTATTTGTCAGACACTTTGGAGGATGTAATACATTGGTATAATTTTTGCTGGAAATTTACGATTATACGTTACTTAAAATAAAAATCATACTTTTACCCAGCAATTTTAATTTTGCCTCCACACAATTCCAGTGTAGGAAATCACAGGCGAAGCAAATGCTAAAAGATACATGTAAAGGAAGGTTTATAATAATAGAACATTTAGAAACAATGTAAATAGGCACCAAGAGTAGATTCATTAATTAAGATATACCAGCATGAAGAAATGTTAGTCTGCCATTAAAATGAATGAGGTATAATAAACAATGTCACATAAATAAAGCATGTTGTAGAACTGTATGAATAGATAATCCTAATTTGGCAAAACAAAAGTTATTGTCTACAGACCAAAATATTAATATTAAGCACCAAGAGGTTGTATTAGGGTTCAACCAGGAAAACAGAAACCTTGCAAAATATTTAAAACAGAAGAGATTTGCTATAATGATTTATACATAGGTGATAAGCATACCATGAAGTAAAAACAAACAAAAAGGCTCATGAAGCCACCCACAGAATACCAATAGCAAGAAGCCAGTACCACCTACTGACTCTCCATCCCAGTAGCAAGCTGAAGGCATTGCTACTGGGATTTCGAGTCTGGGGTCAGTGCACTGACAAAAATGGAACCACAGTGTTACTATCTAACACTGTGCTGGAAAAGCCGTCCAGGTCAGAGAGAAGAGCAGTATGCTGACAGAAAATTGAATTCAGGAAGTAGAGGACTACCTTGAGAAAGACGTTAGATGAACCTCACTAAAGGGAGAGGAAATATGTTACTATAGAGAGTCCTAACTGACAAGTATTAGTTTCAGCATGAAGATCTCAACTTTCATTATATTGCTGTCAGATTTCATTAAGATGACCCAGAGACGTAACTTGAACAATTATTTAAATTTAAAACAAAACTTCGGTATTTGTATATAAGAAGTTACCTACAGGGATCAAAATTAAGATTAAAAAAAAAAACATATTCCTCCTATGAACCAATAAATCCCACAAAAACAGTGAGTTGAAAAAAGGGGAAACTAAGAAATTGTACCCTAGTTAAATTCATATATATATGTAAAGGAAATATTCTCAAATATGTAATGTCTCAGGGAAAATACTACAAAAATATGCTTTCTGAAACTAAAACTGCTTGAAAGGATGTACAAAATCATATGGAAGAATCAAATATTAGAACTCCAAAAGAGAAAAATTATTGCAGTGAGCTTTGGAAGCAGTTATACACAAAGGGATAAGACTTAGAAAGAGCTCAAATAAATTTACCAATCTTTATGCAAAGTAAAGAGAGAAGGAAAGAGAGCAAGCGACAGAGAGAGAAGAAAGAGAAAATGAAGACTTATACATTCAAAAAAGAGATGTGTCTAAAAGGTTAAGTGCTGAGTAGATTAACAAAGACCATTGAAAAGAAAGATGTCAGTGTAGGTATGCAAATTAAAAACACAAGTATTGATTCCCTTTACTTTCATAAAGTCTACTCGACATTTGCTTTATAATTTACTTAGATTATTATATATTACAGTGTTAATTATACTTTAATAAATCAAATGTAGAGTTGAAAAAATCAAATTACTGGAAAGCAGGATAGGAGAAAACTACAGAAACAAAAGTAAATTTTAAAAACCTATAAGAAAACATCACCAAAATAAAACACTTCAGCAATGCTTGAACTTACTTGCTATGGAACCCCTTCTGTAATTATAGAAGATTTGGCAGATATGCAACCCTCTGAGCAAGTTGACAGGACAGAAGTTTCTACTGTGAAGGTGTTTGGAGACTGTGTACTTAAGGGTCCAGAATGTTTTCATGGTTTAGAAGGCTATGATCACAAAGAAAATAGATGAATTGGTAAAAGAAAAATTGACACAGGTTGTTCCAAAAAATACTTATGAAAATGTCTCCAGCTGGAGAGTATTTTTATATTGTAAACTTTATGCACCATAAAGAGAGATGATTTAGATAATTTTATAAGCCTCTGATTAATTTTGTTTAATAATCCCTGAATTTTCATAGATTTGGCACAAAGCTTTATGTATTATGAGACAACTTTGCATCTTTATATATGTATACATCCTTGTTAGATTTTAGTGGCCTTTTCAAGATTTTTTAAATGCTTAACAAATCTTTAGTAAACTATGACTTTTAATATTCTCTATTTTCATATATGTATATTTCATATCTGTAATATATTTACTTGGTTTTGATGAAGTTTTATACTCTTAAAAATACCTCCACAAATTATATGCAAAGACACACTTATTTTTGTTGATATGCCATGGAGTGAATATTTCTGTCCTCCTAAAATTCATATGTTGAAGCTCTCATCTCACTGTGATGGTGTTTGGAGGTGGAGCTGTAGGAGGTCATCAGTTTATGAGGGTGCAGCCCTTATGAATGGAATTAGTGTCCCGATTAGAAGAGGCCTGAGAGCTAGCTCAATGTCTTTCTGCATGGCACCTGGTTCTCCACAGAACCAGAAGCCTGCAGCCTGCAACCCAGAAGAGAGCCCTCACCAGAAGCTGACCTTACTAACACCCTGCTCTTAAACTCCAGCCTCCAAATGGTGAGAAACAAATTTTGTTGTTTATCAGCCATCCAGTTTATGGCACTTTATTAGAGTAATCAGAATTAAGACACGGGATATTCCTGAGAAATACTGTTCACTTTTAAATGCTGTTTTAACAATAGAAAGTAAAAGATACAGATAATTATATTAATTTTGCATCCTAGTTAGTATAGACATTGTTCTGTTATTGATTCTTGAGATACTAATGTGCAGTTAGTCTCATTTTGTTAGTAATATATTGTTGTTAAAGGAAAAATAAGCAAACTATATGAAATTAAATTTAATATTTTTAAAGGATAAAAGCATTTCAATGGCAGCCAGAGTTTCTTTTACAATATTGTTTAAACTGTAAGATCATATCAAAATCATAAAGACAATCCACAGGAAGTAATATTTGAAATCTCACATTTCGAATAAAATTGCTCCCTAACAAGACAAAGCTGGAGTAGAAAAAAAATATGAAAAACATCATCTAACATAATTGCTAGCCAATACATTGGCTGAAACAAAATATTTGCTACTAAAATAATAACATTTATTTTGTATCACCTGTATTATGTAATATTTGTTTAGAATTTCTGGCCAAGCATGGTGGCTCATACCTGTAATCCCAGGACTTTGGGATCCCAAGGTGGGTGGATCACAAGATCAGGAGTTTGAGACCAGCATGGCCAACATAGTGAAATCCCATCTCTACTAAAAATACAATACTTAGCTGGGCGTGGTGGCATATGCCTATAATCTCAGCTTTTCTGGTGGCTAAGGCAGGAGAATTGCTTGAACCAGGGAGGTGGATGTTGCAGTGAGCCGAGATCATGCCGCTGCACTCCAGCCTGGGTAACAGAGTAAGACTCTGTCTCAAAATAAATAATAAATAAATAAATAAATAATTCTGGTTAATGCCATGTGGTCCCACAAATACAGACACACACACTCAGAAAATATACCAAGTCTTCGAATAAAATAATAGGCACAAACATTGAAAGGAGACAACCTCTTTATTACACATAGCTTAAAATTTGCATAACATATAGATTCAAGTATTAAATATAGAAAATCAAGCCATAAAAATTAAGCAAATATAAAATTGAATATAAATCCTCTGAAGGATAAAAATGACTTTCTAGATTTAGACGTTACAAAGAAATAAAAAGGCGATGGTACATTTAATGTAAGAACATAACTCTACAATATGCACTCCCTTGAAAATTTAAAAGCAGGAACACCTAGACTGTCACTATGTTTATTTATAGGTCTCATATGAAGAACTAATAAATTCAGGATTCTAATAAATGAGAAAAAGGGAAACTGATAATTGACAAATAATTCTAAGTAGTTTAAAAGCATGAAAAATTGTTCATCCTCTCCTAATAAAAATGCAAATGAAAACAAATTTTTTTGCCTAAGAACTTGTCCTTTTCCCCAACAAAGAGCCATTCTGGTAAAAACAACTTGCAGTGAACATTTTAATATGTCAGATTTAATATATCAGTGCAGATTGATAAAAAATACATATAGAAAGCAAGAGGCACATAGACTAGATACTTATTTCCACATTCCTTAAACACACATATATACCAAAAGCTTAATTGTGGTTATCACTACTTGATGGGCTTCCACAAGGAGTATGTAAGTTGCTGTCTTTACAGTTTTCTGTATTAGCAAATGTAGAAACAACTTTCAAAAATTCAGCTGGGTGGCAATACTTTACAGATCTGGGATGCTTTTACCAGTATACAATATATACTCTGAATCAGCGATCAATATACTGGTGCTATTTTGGAATTATGGGTCCAAGAATCAAAAGGCAGAAGTCAGAGTGACTCCTTTCATCAATATTTATATGATTCATGAATAGGATTTTGTTTGTTTTGTCCTCAACTCTGGGCTTTGCTTCTCTAGAGGTCTTGGTTTCCAAAGAAGGAATGTATTCACCAATGGGCACATCAATGATTCTATTCAAGTAGAAACTGAGATTGCCACCTGGCTACTTTCAGGTCCTCACACCACTGAATTAATAACAAAGTTCAACCCTGTCAGAGGTAATGAAATCTGACTGTGAAGGAGAAACTGGTTGTTATCATACAATGAGATCAGGGAGAAATTTAGAAGATCCTCTAAGTTCTCACTCACTAGTCCCCATGTCTTATGATAAAGGCCCATTTGAAAAAATATAACAGTCCATATTGGTGAATAATAAATGAAGATATGTTTCACCTACCAGGTAAGGAACCTAACCACCAGAGGCATTTGTCGAGGGCAAAGGAATATGGAGTGGGTATGGAAAAAGAAACATAATCGTCAGTTACAACCGATTGACTAGTTTCAAGGAAGTACTGTAGTAGTTGAGCATTTCCTTCTTACTATGTTTTAAATATGTGTGTACAGGAAAGAGTGAATATATTTATCAATTCTTTCTCTAATTTGATCACATTTCCTTCTTCTACTCTATACAATATGTTAATAGTGGTTAAACTTAACTCTCACTATTTATGTTACCGGATAGCAAGGGAGAATATGACTCAACTAGAAGTATGTATCACGCAAAGGTGGATAATGTGACATAGGACTGTGTGCGATCTTTTCTGGAGAGAATGCTATTGTGTTTTTTGGTTGTAGAGGTATAATGGCATTATATTAGGCAAAAGCATGATTTTGTTGCTGCCTTTATTTGGAAGTTAAATGTGGTTGAAAAAACTCTATGCTAATGTCATACTGACAGAGGTAGACTATGCTGAGTGCCCACTTGGTTTAGTTTGAAGGAATGTTCCTCAGCATCCCATTCCTTGTGCTGTTCTTGGTTAGAGTTGGCTAAAGGAAGAATTTTTGTGGTTTTGGTAGGTGCAAGTGAAGCAATGGCCATTAGTATTTGAAGATCATCGTGGCTGCATGAGGTAAAGCAGAGGCACAGGGTTACCCGGCAGGATTCAGCTTGTCTTCACTCTCTTCTGCTCTGCTTGGAGGCCTTCATCTTCACTGCTGGCCCTGCTGGCAAATAGCCACTGCAGGCCCATCACCAGATGTGTGGCTGGAGGAGCTGAGAGGGAACAGCTGTCTGTAGACTTCTCCAGCCAATCTTTCCTGTTCCCTTTCAGCAACTAAAAGTGCTGGGCTACTCATATTAACAGGTTGGTGATGCCTCTGATCTTCCAACTCCCTAGTTTAACTTTCAGTTCCCCTCCATCCAGCTTCCTCCAACACTGTGTAAAGTCTAATTCCTGTAATAACTTTTTTACCCCTTAATTCATACTGGTCTTTCTCTCTCTACTGATGGAAACTTGACAGGTACAAGATGGTTTAAAGTTTTATTTTCTTATGTTATCTTCCGCAAGGTCTATTATAAATGGTGGCTTGACTTTGTAAAAAGAATTTGGAAGACTGATTTCTATTTTATCTGGAACTATGTAAATAAAGTTGGGTGATACCATCTTTAGCAATGTGAGACATTTAAACTTTCAATTTGATTATTTATATTTTATTTGATCCTCAGCTTCAGCAGGGTTTTCAACATTTTTTCATAGAAGTATATAAAGTAGTATCTCATACCTGACTTTACCCTGTACTTTGATTATATCCCCATTACAGAATTTCTCCTTTTTTCTTTCTTTTTTTTTTCAATTTTTTAAATTGCATTTTAGGTTTTGGGGTACAAGTGAGGAACATGCAAGACTGTTGCATAGATATACACAAGGCAGTGTGATGTGCTGCCTTCCTCCCTGTCACCTATATCTGGCATTTCTCCCCATGCTATCTCTCCCCAATTCCCCATTCCTCACTGTCCCTCCACTATTCCCCGCCTACAGACCCCAGTGTGTGATGCTCCCCTCCCTGTGTCCATGTGTTCTCATTGTTCAACACCCAATTATGAGTGAGAACATGCGGTGTTTGATTTTCTGTTCTTGTGTCAGTTTGCTGAGAATGATGGTTTTCAGGTTCATCCATGTCCCTACAAAGGACATGAACTCATCATTTTTTATGGCTGCATAGTATTCCATGGTGTATATGTGCCACATTTTCCCTGTCCAGTCTATCATCAAGGGGCATTTGGGTTGGTTCCAGGTCTCTTCTATTGTGAACAGTACTGCAATGAACATTCGTGTGCATGTGTCCTTATAGTAGAATGATTTATAATCCTCTGGATATATACCCAGTAACGGGATTGCTGGGTCAAATGGAATTTCTATTTCTAGGTCCTTGAGGAATCGCCACACTGTCTTCCACAATGGTTGAACTAATTTACACTCCCACCAACA